GGAAACCCTGATCTAGCTAGTTAAATAAACATTGGAATACAACTATCCAATCCTGTCAGGTCATTTGTATCAAATCGTTTGTGTTGGTAAATTTACGTTATCATGTATGGTAAACCCCATCCACTACTCGCTTCTCAACGTGACTTTTGGATTAAACCAGACTTTTGGACAGCATGATTAGTCAAAAACAAATACATACTCAGATACAGGGCATTGGTTTTATATTATTTTAAAAAATCTATAAAACAAGAAACATGAAATTGTACGGGACCATTTTACCTGGGTATACAATGGAACTATGGAAAGGAGTGGCTAGCGGTAAAGAGCTGGACTGCTAACCCGTTAGTCTCAAGTTCGAATTCGGGTCCACGTCAGTAGACCGTCCCTGAGTCCACCCAGCTCTGATCGGTACCTAACCAACGTTGGGGAAAGTAAAGGCGGCTGGGCATAGTGCTGACCACACTGTCCCTTCATATGCCAAGGTAACAGATACAAGTGAAGTCTACTTCACTTGCCCCTTATACCGTCAGCTTTGAAAGGGAACTTTACTTTACTTGCTTTATACAATGGAAGTAATTAAATGAAACATAATATCAATAAATATCATACATTGCAAACAAAAACTATATAACATAAAACATAATATATAACATAATTTGAGACATTGAGAATAAAATTAACTTACAATCACAGAAGCTTGATGAGAAATTTAGTAGGTAACAAATGCTGTAGGTATGTATGGTACAGTAGCAAGATTTGGTTAGAATTTATACTAAAGTCAAGGTTAATTTGTAGACAACATGGTGCCTGGGAACTTGATGAGTTTCTTTTTATGAAGTAATCTAGTTTTTACAGCAACTGAAGAAATCCCCGAAGCTTGATCAGATATAACGAGAAAAATGACGAGCAGTGTCGCCGTTAGTGTTGATACTGGCACCTGTCTGACACTTGACTGACATCTGCTGACACCTGGCGAACGTTGGCTGTCACCTGGTAAGAATTGTGTAACACTACAGGTGTGGAGTGAGATGTGGGGCACTCTGGGGTTACAGGTCAGTAGTAGCATACAGCTTAATGGACGCAGGTCAGTAGTAGCATACAACTTAATGGACGCAGGTCAGTAGTAGCTTACATCTTAATATAGTTAGGTGATTAGCATACAACTTAATGGACGCAGGTCAGTAGTAGCATACAACTTAATGGATGCTGGTCAGTAGTAGCATGCACCTTAAAATGCCAATAGTAGCATACAGCTTAATGGACGCAGTTTTAGCATACAGCTTAATGGACGCAGTTTTAGCATACAGCTTAATGGACGCAGTTTTAGCATACAAATTAATGGATGCTGGTCAGTAGTAGCATACAACTTAATGGACGCAGATCAGTAGTAGCATACACCTTAATAGGCCAATAGTAGCATACAGCTTAATGGACGCAGTTTTAGGAAACAGCTTAATGGACGCAGTTTTAGCATACAACTTAATCGACGCAGGTCAGTAGTAGCATACATCTTAATTAATAGGCCAGTAGTAGCATACAGCTTAATGGACGCAGGTCAGTAGTAGCATACAACTTTATAAACTCAGGTCAATAATAGCATACAACTTAATGGACGCAGTTCAGTAGTAGCATACAGCTTAATTAATAGGCCAGTAGTAGCATACACCTTAATGGACGCAGTTCAGTAGTAGCATACACCTTAATGGACACAGGTCAGTAGTAGCATACAACCTAATGGACGCAGGTCAGTAGTAGCATACAAGTTATTTGGCTCAGGTCAGTAGTGACATACACCTTAATGGACGCAGGTCAGTAGTAACACTGCAAATTGTAAATCATTACGAAACCTTGCGCTTTTGTCGAATTGCTCGTATCACAAATCACATTATCCTAATTGAACGTAGTTTAAGTATCATTAGTTCATCCCATCACCCACAATACAACCACCGCTGTTTTTGGTACATGAGTTTTTATTTTTATAAATATGTATTTATAAATTATAACAAATTGTGTAACAAAGCTTAACAAAAGAGAATGGAAAGAAATCAACTGGTTGTACAAAGTGTATAACCAACCGACTTGAGCTAACGGAAGATGCTGGTGGAGGAACTGGGGGGAGGGGGGGATAGGCTTCACTACGTTTACGTACATGTTACAATGGTAATGCTAAACCATTTCAGTCAGTATAAATCACTTACTAGTTACACCAAAAATACCACACTTCATTTATAGACTTCACGGAACATTACTGGTTTCCATTCTGTAATGCTGCAAGTTTCTCTTTCTTTGGCTTAATTTTAACAACGAGCTTTTTTCTTCACCCGTCTCTGAATTCCTAATTTTTTAAGCAAATCATAACTCAAACGATAAGCTCTATCTCAAAAAATCCCTATGCAGGAATGTCATTGTATTTTTGTTACAGATATCCCAGAGTCGGGATCCAAAATTTAGTACATGATCAACATTCATTGAATAACAGGTTAAGTAAGTTATTTGATATTTACCAATTATACATTTACAAAAGTTTCGTTTCCGATTTTGTTTAATGCAGCTAGCATTGATTACTCATTTTCAATCAAATTGTATGCAGTAGTACAATTTAATTGCTGCTTTAATAGTCGTGATATTTAACTAAAATTTGTAAAAAAAAAAAAAAAATTGGTCATTATTCAGATTGCTCATTTTTTGTAACACTAATGTTAAGTTATTTCCCTTGATTCTAATTTTATTTTATTTTTATTTTTTATTTAATTCTTAATAAGAGAATTTACAGCCGTCTTTGTTATGAAAACTACCCCAGCGCTAACGTGTTATTATGACTTAATGACCACAATGATTACGATATAAAAACGCAATGCAAAACACATTGCTAAGACTTGACGAAAAGTCAAGCATTAGACTAAGTGATTAAAAATTTTAAGGTGTGCTTTTATTAGTAATTATGGACATTTTTTTTAGCCTCAGGCATGTAATTTAAAGCGTCAGTTTGCCTTGCATGTTCGCTTTAGTATTATAGTTTTCATCATCGGCTTCTGAGGACTGATACAGATTTACAATAGTAATACTTCTTTCTGACATTTAGCCTACTTTCGTTAATTTAAGATGGTTTACTTATACATAGATCTAATACAAAACGTCTAATTACAATTTTATTCTTAAACCTGAAAATGCTAAAGTATAATTAAAAGGTGATTCAAAAACAATTTTCCGACACGGTGTGTTGAAGCGGCCTGGCCTTATAAGTAGAGCTGAAATAAATTTGGGATTAAAGAAAAATAATATAAATATTATAAGCAGCCGGAATGATATGTTAAGTACATTAAGACTTATGAAATAAAGCATTATTACCTTTCAAATATCTATATCTATACCAGTCCTCCTACATTTGTTTTAATACATTTATTTTAAAGATTTAAAATATTTTGCGCTAAACTGCTCTGACATAGAGTTCAGATAAATATTTCAAGCAAAACTAAGGCATAGACTGAGAACTCTCGCCTAACTAAACACAAATAGAGATGGAAAAAGTATTGATTTTAATTAAGAAAGCCTCAAGCAAAACATAACTTCAGCAGCCCTCGAGTAATTTACGTTAGCAGTGCGGCGCCAGGTTATTTAGCGCCCTCGGTACAACTTATTAAAACGCCTCCCCCGAACACATTTTTTCGGACCCCATTTGTATAGTAAATACAAACACACACACACACATATTTATATATATGTTTATGTATGTATATATATATATATATATATATATATATATATATATATATATATATATATATATATATATATATATATATATATAACAGAAATATATATTATTTACGCATATTACATATATAAAAATATATAGGCCAATATATATATATATATATATATATATATATATATATATATATATATATATATATATATATATATATATATATATATATATATATATATATACATATATATATATACATGTATATATATATATATATATATATATATATATATATATATATATATATATACATATCTATATATATGTGTATATGTATATGTATATATATATATTTATTTATTTATTTATATATATATATATTTATATATATATGTATATATATATATATATATATATATATATATATATATATATATATATATATATATATATATATATATATAAATATATATATATAGGCCTATATATATATATATATATATATATATATATATATATATATATATATATATATATATATATATATATATATATATATATATATATATAACAAATATACATTTTATAATGTTATTTTTCGTACATTTTTGTATTTGTAGGGATGTTACATGATGTTTTATACCATTTGAGAGGGCACGTAAAGGTCATTAACAAACTATACTGTGGGGCGATGATGGTTGAGTGGTTGAGCCTTTAACTGCATATCCGAAGGTCGACAGTTCGGATCTCGGTTCGTTATTGCATGATGTCTCTGAGACCACCAAGCTCTGATGAGTATCCGATCCGACTGATGAAAGATAAAGAAACGGCTCGCTTTAGTTCTTACCAAAGCTCTTCAGTACATTCAGTACACAGGTTCCCGAACCTTTTCGAATGCGACCTCTAATTAAAAAAAAAAAAAAAAAAAACCAAGGAGCCCGCGATCACCATATAACTAAATTAAAATAAATGTGTTGTTTGGTTTAATCTGCAAGTCTGGAACCCTCGGAAAAAACCACCTGTGACACACCTGGTGGTCGCGATTCGCTGTTTGAGAACCCTTGTTCTAAGTAAAGTAAATGTAAAAAAAAAAAAATAATAATAATTGAAAACAACAATGGAGATAATCGTCATGGTGACAAGCACCATTGGTCTTTACCATCCCCTTATAAAAACAAATATAAACCATCATTTACCCAATTTTAAAAAAAATATATTAAAATACGTAGGAACAGTTGACACTGTTCAACACTTCGGAAAAACCCGATTTAAAAAACGTGGATCTATTTTTATTTTAAAGCAGCTCGATTGAAGTCAAGAGAAGCAAGTTGCTCTGGTCGTACACGGTAAGAATAAGTAGTTGTCTTTTAATACAACATAATTTACAAGAAAAGACAAGCACACAACATAACAGGTGTCGAACAAATAGGCTACTTTTGAATTGAAGCAAACTCGAAATTCTATTTATACTTTAGTAACCGCCATTTAAAATGCTTCGATTAATACGTTTCAAGTTAGATCTAAACATAATTTCCCTTTTTATAGCTCTTCCCTTTCAACTAAAATAAACAGAGTATAACGTACTTTTATAATCAACCACATTTTAATTATACATCCTAAAAGTATAAAATATTTAAATAAGAATAAAATATAGTAGCTTCGTTTCAGAAAAATAATTTTGGAAATCCCCGATTCTTTTTTTAGTTTGTCGGATATTTAATAAGCATCACCAAAGAAAAAATAAAAATAAATGAATAAATAAAATAAAGGAACCGCTGGTTTAGAATAGGATAAATTTAAATAATAATCATATATGCGTTTAAACTTGAAGATAATACAAATATGTATTTACTTCATCTCTCTAAACAATTTACAAGAGCGTGGTAGACATTTGCTATTTGCTTTTATTAAAACGGTTTGTTAGGGTTGCTGTGAGAGGGTCCACTACGATTTTAAGAATACCATTTTCATGAACTGTCACATTACAACGATACAAGTGATAATCACTTGGCACAATGCCTATTATTTCCTATCTCACTATCTATTCAACCACTGTCCTCATTCAGAATTATACAACTATGCGGTCATCCATAAATGACGTCACGCATTTTTTTTGAGGATTTTTACCTCCCCCCCCCTCCCCTCCATCACAACATCGTCACAGAAAGCCAGACACCCCCTAAAAGACGCCACACCTCAGCCTAAAATACGATATGTTTCCCAAATCTTGTCTGAACTTAGTCAACATGGAGTATTTTAATCAGAGTTTTTTCCAGGTATCTTTTCGGGGGGGGGGGGGGGGGGGGGGGGGTGGGGGGGGGGGGGGGGTTGGGTAGTGTCGAAGCCCCCCTGAAGAAAGTCTACCGCCCCCCCCCCCCCCCCTGCAACGAGATCCAGTTTATATAGTAAACATACACTTTTACTAATGTCCAACCCCCCCCCCCCCCCCTGAGAAAAAGTCTTGAGGAAACACTGATTTTAATCAATTCCTGTTACAATGTATTTAAACAGTTTTCTAAAACGCAAATTTTTTTCTCTAAAATTCGTCCTAACGGTGCTTTTTTTATAATACAAAAGAGTGACGTCATACCTTCTGAACCCCACCCCCCCCTCCCATTCATCACACACCATCACAAAATTACAGACCCCCACCACCTTACGAGTGTGACGTCATTTGTGGACGACCCCCCCTATCCTAGATTTCATCATCACACAGAATACCTCTTACATCCACAACTTAGCCCTAACTCACGAGCTTGTTTCTTTTGGAAAACTTCACCGTCCTTTCATCTGCGTCATATTTTCATTCTTTCATTACAGACATGCACCAAAATTTATTCGCAACAATTTACACTAAATCACGCATCATAAAAACGGTTTATTTTATACAATTACTAGACCAGGGCGGACACCATGAGAAGATGCCTCTTCACTTCCTGGTGTTGCTCTACATCCGGGCTATTTTGGCAACACAGCTCTGCCCACCAGCCGAAGAGGGGACCTCCTATCATTGTCACGTGACCGTCAATAACACAGAAGAGCGTACGGTGGTCTTAAGGAGAGATGGCAAGGTCTATGCTCAGTGCGACTGGTCAAGACTGACACTGACTGTCATAATGTGGACAATACTGACTTGACAGTTGGGCTTGATGTCAGGGAGACAATGTCACATTTGAGTTCAGAATGGCTAACGTTACCAGGGACAATGACCAAGCTATGTGGAGTGTTGAGACCTATCTTGACAAGGCGATACCAGATGTCCTATTTCGTTTTAGGACTCTGGTTTACGGTGAGCTCATATCCTAATAGTAGAAGAATTCAGGGTTAATGACATTTAGTTGTAGCTTTTATAGCTGGTATAATGGATGAAAAGTTAAGGCCCTTAGATGTAGAAAAGTAAAAAAAAGTTAAGTTCCCCTTCCAAACCTGAAAGTCTATGGGGAAAGTGAAGTAGAGTTCACCTGTTTCTGTGACCTCGGCATAGAAGAGATAGTGTGGTCAGCAGAATGCCCAGCCACCTTTACTTTCTCTAAAGTGAGTTAGGTACCCATCAGTGCTATGTGGACACAGGGAGGGTCTACTGACTTGAACCCGATTTGAACTCGAAACTTACGACCCTCAGTTGTAGGCAGTATTTATTAGTTATTAAAAAAGTCGCTGGAAGATGTTAAATCTATTGTGAATTATGTGAATGATTCAAGTATTTAAATGAGGTAATAGTTGAAGAGTTTAGGTATTTGATACAGTTCAACACAAGTTGTTGAATATTTTGTATGAGTTTATTTACATAGTGTACACAATTTGGTCTATGGTGAGTAATAACTATTTGCAGTCATCAACGACATCAAATCATATACCAACCATACTGATGAATTAATAACACAAGCCATAATTCATGTTAATGGCCCAAAAGTCAGGTTAAAGCCTTTACGACAGTTTTGCAGCTCATAAGTTATGTAAAGGACCCATAAACTCGGTTTAGTGTTCATTTAACACACTTAGCTTAATTTCTCTTATCAGACATATTATATTAAATACCACTACACAATTTTCAGTGAAGATAAAAGACGTCCCAGCTGAACACGACATGGTCAAGCAAAGGTCTAATCGTCACAATTGTCGTGCCAGTGTTGACCTATCAACCCACACAGGTAATTTGCCCAGTGTTGACCTATCAACCCCACACAGGTAATTTGCCCAGTGTTGACCTATCAACCCCACACAGGTAATTTGCCCAGTGTTGACCTATCAACCCACTCAGGTAATTTGTCCAGTGTTGACCTATCAACCCACACAGGTAATTTGCCCAGTGTTGACCTATCAACCCACTCAGGTAATTTGTCCAGTATTGACCCTATCAACCCACTCAGGTAATTTGTCCAGTATTGACCTATCGACCCACACAGGTAATTTGCCCAGTATTGACCTATCAGCCCACTCAGGTAATTTGGTCCAGTATTGACCTATCAACCCACTCAGGTAATTTGTCCAGTATTGACCTATCAACCCACTCAGGTAATTTGCCCAGTATTGACCTATCAACCCACTCAGGTATTTGCCCAGTATTGACCTATCAACCCACTCAGGTAATTTGCCAGTATTGACCTTCAACCCACTCAGGTAATTTGCCCAGTATTGTCCTATCAACCCACTCAGGTAATAGTGTAGTATTGATACTCAAGTAATTTATATACAATTGGACCTATCAGCCCACAGTAATGATTTATCAACAACAAACATGCATTTTTCTCTCATTTAACTGCTGATTAACAATTGAAAAACCTTCACCTTTATATCTACGTAATAATATGTCTTTGACTACGTAAACATTGTTACTTTAACTGCACACAAAAGATACTCGGACGAAACCAAAGTAGTTCTACACATATTTTACCCATTATGTTAAATAAAAAAGTTACACTTTCAGAACATGCTGTACTAAGTAAATATAATTTACTACATATTTTCCAAGCGATTCATTTTTACTAAACCTAAACTATTTTCATTACAGATTTACATATGTTAGTTTCTCGTATTGTTCTACTAACTTCCATATTTCTAACCATCATGTCGTCCAAAGATCAAGCTACTTCACGACACTCCAAAAACTGCTTCTTCTTGTAACAAACACACACGTGGGAAAGAAAACTCCTAACTTCAGGTCCACATGCGTTATCTCCCTTGATGTTGAGCAACCCACCAAAGCCAACCTGGACTTCCTGTTGTATCCGAAGATTTCCGGGTTGTCTGAAGATGAGGGTGTTGGCTATTCTAAAAATATCACCATCACAATCGGTAATTCTATATTTATAAAACTTACAAATTAAAGGTAACTATATCAGACATCAAATAAATATTTCAACTAACCAGTGATTTAACTACAATCCAAATACATTTATCAAATCTTGCGAACTTTACATATCGATATACATTTATATTTAACATTTTATGACTGGTTTGCTTTCTGGTAAATGCTAAGTAAATAGCTAGAAGGGCATAAAAGTAAAGCTTCGAAATCTAAATGGAATTTTTTTTAAACGATTACATTACGTTCTTTATATTCCGTATACGAGAGTGTACAACGCCAACTGAATGAAAACTAAGAATGTGACTATAATAGAGTGGAAATTATTACTTAACTTAATCTTAGAAATTAATTAATCATTCATTTAATGTCACATTGCACTCTCATCAGATATAGGCTTACGTGCCAAGTTTCAAAGAAATAGGTTCGTTTTAAGTGGTCAAAATTTCGCTCGCCAATTTGATCCAAGGCAATTAATGCACCAAAAAAGAACGATTGTGAATCCAATTTAAATAAAAGCATTTAAAAATAAAATGAAAAGTATGTATATCTCGCTGACTGTTTTTAAAATAAATTACAAGACCATTTACGGGAGATCACTCACGCTTGATTTGTATTATCTTCTTGTATGAACTGATATTTTTTTCTTATTTAAAGAAGACCGAAGGTTAAGATTAAATCCTGCACAGAACCACCAGATGGGCAGTTGGTCACCTGCATATGCCAACGAGTGGACAATAGCGACGTCCCAACGAACTAACCTGGAGCATAGCGTCTAGTTCCAAGGTGGACACCAGCATCAACCTAACGACAATTTCCTTCACCTGGATGGAAAATATAACCCGTTAGTAGTTTTAATAGTTATTTACGTTACTACTCAAACTTCGAATATGGCGCAAAGTATTATTTCGAAAAAAAAATACTTATATTGCAGTTTTTTTATTTGTGTTTGTTAAAACCACAGACCTTTAGTTTAGAATAGTTTGGGATACAATCAACTATAGACTTGAAAAGCTGGTTCAAAGTGGTTTCAAATTTTCGCCAGAAAGAATATTTTTCAACGAAAGTTGAAATATTCATTAAATTTGTGTAATCAGTACAAAATTACTTCTGGTTCATTAAGGCTAGAAATAATAAAATAATTAATTACTAGTAATATATTAGTATTTAGCAAACACTTTTATTTTTAATTTGGATTAGTAGAGTCAGGGTGTTTTGGTGATTAGTGGTGTTATCAATTTAATATAAATACAATACTGCGCTATACACCATTGATCACTATTGTGTATTTTTATCTTGGAAAACAATTGTTCTGACTTGTATTGTTTTACTCTCCCTGGCCATTCCGGTTGACTTCAGGAGAGCTTGGAAATAGGTTTTGTTAATATATGAATTCATAAAACAATTCAAAACGGCTTTTCAATGGCTTATACTCGATACAAAAATATAAAAATGAGTGAAATCAATAGTTCCCAAACAGGTTTAATTTTTACAAGTTTTAATGTAACTATAATTGTATTTTAAAATATTTTTTTAATTTTTAAAAACTAATTTTGCAAAAAAAAATGTAGTACGATTGCATAGACTTTTCATGCCTATTGTGCCGCCTATTGATTAAGCTGTACGATAAGTAATATGTATTTTTTGATGACTGGTAAATTGTCAAAATTGTCAAAATAATTACTAACTTAAACGTTAGTTTTGAGCGTAGGTAAAAATGTCTTACTTTTCAAGCTCCTTACCCATGTAGGCCTATATAGTTACATAAACTAAGTTCCATGGAGTTCCCATACCGGCAACCTACAGTTATTTTATATAGAGGCTGTCTAAATTATTCGCAGTCGCTCGCTTTTTAAAAGCTTTTATTTAACACACTTCCCTCTGTCTGTTGTCAGTCGTCAGTCTGTGGTAAGTCTGTCTAGATCGAAACGCCGGAGTTGAAAATTCGGACAGTTCTACTTGACCGATATGATTCACATTTGGCACGTGGGTCAAGACATGAAGACATGCAATATGAAATTAAATTTGACCTTAATTGGGATTTTTTATGAATTAATTAAAATTTGGAACGAATTAGTAGGCATGTCTATCCAACCACACCACACACGCGTCATTACGTTCAATGGCTGCGCCATCACGTTCAATAGGCGCGCAATGGTTTTTAGTCATGTAACTCTATTATAAATAAAACATGTAAAGTTACTGAAAAAAAAATCATAAAAAACGTTTAATAACAAGCTTTTATGTAATAATGCACTAAAAAGTAGAAAATAAATTACACCTACTATTTAAAATTACTATAAAGAAAAGATGGTCTCTTCTCAAAGTATTAGTAAGGTATCCAATAGGTACTAAAGTACTATAGTGGACCCACGCTTTTCTTTATAGTAATTTAAATAGTAGTGTATAATTTATTTTTCTACTTTTTTAGTGCTTGTTATTAAAACGTTTTTCATGAACAAAAATTCTGTTTAGGGCCTGATTGATACTTGGAAAACAAAGAAAATTGATGTATTTATTAATTTCAACTTGTTGATGCGTTTAAAAACTATAAATAAACCTTTAAGTTGGACGCATCTTCAAAATAAACCAGATTTTTTTTCCTCACACGTGTGGGTAGAGTAGAAGGACAGCAGCCATATCGAACTAACAAGTAAGATGGATTCTTTGTTTCTTCCAGTCATCTCTTCGGAAAATTTAGTCCGCCCCCCCCCCTTCGAAAATTTCAGGTGTACCCCCCCCCCCCTCCCGGAGAAAAAAGTCAGGATGAAACACTGGATGGGTTGGGCTTAAGCTGATTAGGAATTACGAAAAATAAGAGTCTCTAAACTAGTACCAATAGGGGAAAAGGAAAGAGACTAAGAACATCCCGGACTATAGAAAATTAATAAGCACGACTGGAATAAAGTGGACCCAACTGAAGTCAGCCGTCAAAAATCGAGTTATTTAAAATGTACCTGCTTTACATGGAGCATAAAGGTTTAAAGTCAAGCATCTTTTTGAAGCTCCCAAATATTCTATAAGTAATAATTTATAAACTAAAGACTAATTGTTACCTACTCCTAACTACCTGCAGCTGATTTATTACCTATTCCAAAGTCTTCTAAATGTTTTATATGTTTTTTTTTTCTTTGTAGATAGAGACTGCTTAGCCAAGAGTGCTTTAGGGCAATCAAGGGTTGGATAGGCACAAATTAAGCTACCAACATCTGGAACAAACTCAAATCAATGGATTGTAGTTGGAACAGTAATAGCCCTACTCATTGTTACACTGTTCGTCTTTTGCTTGTATCACTTTTATAGAGATAGAGGTATGTATTTCTACATCTATCATTACACATATGGAAAAATAATCGATGTAATTATATAGTTTACGCCCTTTATACATTGTATTTTATGCTAAATAACTTTTTGTAAAGTACACAACTCAACGTTATTACTTTTAAAATAACATAACATTTTTTTTTACTACTTTTTAGGTTGTCAGTGTAAGAGCCTTCCATGTTTAAGGGATAGGACAAAGGTATTCAATAGGTAAATGTCATGGTTTGAATATCTATTAAATATTACTAATACAATACTAAACTAACAGTATATTGTGTCTAGCTGTTATGTATAATGTAAACTTGCGGATTTTGTATATGTGTAGTATGACTAATCGGTTTACTAAGCGCACTTTTATAAAACTCATGGAATCAAGACAAAATATTAAACTAACACTTTCACTAACATGTGATATACTCGACGATGACTTTTTCCCTGCATGTAAACACAACTTGATGCAAAATGGAATGCATGTGTGATTTTTAATCATTTTTCAGATATGTGTGTGTAGCAATAAAGTCCTGAAATGCTAAAATATTTGAATGAATGGCTTTTAATACGAATAACATTAACAATATTTCGTGTAGAAATAACTTGGGTTGTGTAATAATTTTCTATGTAAATTTTGGAAACTAAGAATACCTTAAGACTAAAACTGTTTCAACTCAACTATTAAATCGCCAGTTACATTTTAATAGTTACCCCTCTCATTACATTATAATCCACTCCGCCGTTTTCCTACCTCACCCATTAACACTTCAC